CACCCTGGTTTTCTCATCAGAACAACGATGTCTCAGGATGACTTGTGGACAAATGTGAAAGGGAACATAGAAAATCTTTCCTTCCCAAAGAAAACGAACGACCCATAAGCTCTGTGAGCTGACAGCCATGAGCTACTGTCGGCTCTTACTGAATCCTTTCTGAACTGCACCAAGGGACAAAGGAAGAGAGGGTAATGGTCAAATCCTCATTAGAAGAGGGATGAAACAGGCTCTCTCCCCTGGTTTTTACCTTGGTTCAGTGCTATTTTCCCTGGAATGGACTAGGACTCAACCCATATAGTCCTTTGCTTTGCCCAGATTAGCATTTGCTCCCAAGTTTAGTGCCCATCTTGATGAAAGGCTGTCTATTTCATTAGAATGAATTTCAGCCATAAGTTTCTGCTTTGAAAGAATTGGGGCTTTTGCTCTAGAATGGTCAGCACAGAGTGACAAGAAGGGCAAAGGCTTTTGTTACCAAAGATTCAGCTCCCAAAAGTTGAGTCACAGTCATGGAGCTAACCAGACAACATCACCACCTTTCAAAGTATAGCAATGATATTATTTTTCCCTGGCACGTTAATTTTCTCACACCAGCCAACTTCACTCCTCTGCTTCTGTGCTGAATGCCCTACGGAGACAGGAAGGCCACCACTCCTCAGCCCAACCCCTTCCCCAGAGGGCTCAAAGGAGGGTGCAATCTTTCCTAAAAGTACTAACATGAAGGGAAAAAAAAAGCAGCAACACTGGGACCAGCTTCCACTTACGTGATCAATAAATGCAGCTGATGACAAAGAAATGCACACCTGCCTCCCCACAAATAAAAATTCGAGGAGAACATGTCTGAGCTGGTGGGATGGTAAAGAAGCGTTTCTACAATTCTCTATAAATCACAACTGGTCAAACAGTAATGACAGCAATCCCAGGGAAGCCCCCGTTGTGGATCTCAGAATATACTCCGGTTTCCCAGGGTGTCACACACTCGATGGAATGACTTTTCAGCTTAATGCAAAGTGAGAACTGCCACTGGGTAATAAATTCCTTTCTGGACTAAAATAGTAGTCCATGAAGTAATCACTGCAAGAAGCAATAGGTGTTTTATCTCAGTGGTGGCAAAGTGCCTCTTCAGATTGAAAAATGCTGATTTATTCCAGAATGCACAAATTCTGCTGGTTGTTCCTCTCCATTCCCCACCCTGCCAACGGAGGAATGTTCTTGACTGAGTCAGAACTGCCAGCTTAACCCAGCAGGAAGCTTTGTCTCCAGCATCCCGTCCTATCCATCCAGCCCTCTTGACTGAGAAGTAACAGCCTACCGATGCTAATGTTTAAAGAACCCAGAGGGTGAAGAGAGAGGTCTGACTCCTGGAAGGAGCAATCTACACCCATCACCACTTGCCTTCCAGCCTCTGTGGCCGGATAGCAGCGTCCCTCCTCAGGCTACCCCTGAATGCCACTCGCAAGTGACCAGCAGCCCCGGGAGTGTGTGGTGGGGGAGGATTCTCCGTAGAGCAGGCTGCTCAGGACTCCTCTGCGTCTTCAGACGTTAATCCACATAGCTCAGAATAAACCAGATTGCAAACAGCCCTGAGCGCGTCTAAAACGGCCTGCAGCTCCTCTCAGTCAATCTCGGCATCGGGCAAACCTCGGGTGAGAGTTTGCAGACATACTGAGGGACGAACCCTTGCCAGAACTGAAACCGAGATGAACGCAACAACAATGAAAAACACTTAGAACCACGTGGGCTCATAGCCAAACACTTGAACTTGGTCTGTACGTACCGACAAACGCAGGCTTCACCACATAGATTTACAGCAGAGATTCTAGCAGAGATTTGCAGCAGAGACTAGCTTGTGGCGTTCTTGCAAATGCAGAGGTTTTTTTTCGGGGTTGGGAGGGGGATGTGGTGGGCCGCCGGGGAAAGGTAGAAAAGGAAAATGAAGAAAGACAAAGCGACAGATGCAAAGGCAATCCAACCACTCTGAGCCACTGTTTCAAACTTCAGAAATTTTACCACAATTTGGGTGATCCTAATGGTCTCTGAATCACGTTAGAAAATGTCACAATAGACATTTGAATTAAAATCCAGTAGGTTTGCCAAAAGACCAATTGTTAAAAATTGGCAAGTTTCCAGAGAATTTACTAGGCTGCATACTGCCCGGGGCTGAGAGAATTGCTAATTCCAGAGAAAGTTAATTATCACCTTATTGATAAAGGGGTAATTTTTAAAGCTTATGGTGTGGCTTTTGTGACTCATTAATTAAAATTTAGAGTAATTTACTAGACACAGTGGTGGCTTCTGTTACATTATATAGGTACCAAACCATTTGATTTTTCTCCCAGTGGCTGTTTTTAATCCCCCTTGCCTCTCCTCACCTGTCTGCCTTTGAAAGCAGCAAAAGCATTAAAATCGCGTAAATCTTAAAAAAGCCTTTTGAGAGATTGCAGGATTAAGAAGTAAGATGTCCAGGGGTCACTCACACAAAGTTCTCTCCTAGAAATGTCATATTTGCCCACAGAAATGAAGAAGCACATGTGCTCACACCAAAAGGGACTGCTTTTACAAACTTCATCTCCAAAATATTAGATCAAATTGTATGCCCTCGATAATTTGATGGAAAAGAGTCTTTCCTCATCTCTTTTCTTTTCTCTCCCACACCATCCCCAAATAAAAGCAGAGGCTCAGTGGAGGAGAAGCCTCAGGGAATGAAACTGGAGGTGTCTGGGCTCTTAAGTTCCCAGGCGGTGTCGTCTCCTGCTCTCTCCCGGACGGGTGGATGGGGGTAAGCCACCTGGCGTCGGGGTGACGCTGCGGCTTCCAGGGGTAAAGCCTCGGGAGGAACCTCAACCCGCGGAGCTCTGCCCGGGGCCCCAGGGTGCCAGTTCTGAGCCCCGCCTCACCTCTGCCCGACCCGCGTTCGCTCTAAAGCGTCTTCAGGAACGAGTGAACATGTGTGATGTGTCCGCCCACCGCGCCAGACTGTAAACAAACCCTGTAAAATCTAACTCCCCACGTGTGCATAAAGATGATTTCTCTCTGGACATCCCTTGTTTAAAGGGCACTTCAGCAATGTTTCCTTAAACTTGTTGAAATGTTTAAGGTCCAAAATTGAGATTTAAAAATACATAAAAGCCGCCACAATATAAGAGGTTTCTGCTTTTGATTTTTCACATCAATTAAAGTTTAAAATTAAAAAAACATTAATCCTATCTTTGTACTTTTTGGCATCGCTTGAATTTTTATAAGGAAACATTATGTCACATTTAAAAAGTCATTATTTTTTGAATTTTCAGTACAAAAGTTTTAGAGCAGAGACAGTACTTGGGGCTGGCTTGTGTTGTAGCAGCTTGACTGCTTGTATTACCTGCTCCTGGAAGAGCCCCTGAGACCCCAAACCCCAGAAACCGAGAACTAGAGAAAGTGAAACTGCTTCTGCTGGTTTCACTTGCCTCAAAAACACACCACCAAAAGCAAATAAATGACCGAAAGCAATTTATTCTTGTTTTCTTTCTATTATTATTCATTTACTTGTTAGGTTTTGGTTATTGTTGTTTGGGGCAGTGGGCGCTGGCAGCAAAATAAAAGTAATTTAAGTGGCACAGGGAAGAAATTTAAACATGTTAAACACAAAAGAACTGGGTGTTTGTGGAATTTTCACTTTTCTTATAATGCCACAAATCAAGCAGACATAAATTTACCAAAATAATACATAGCCTCTCCACATACACAACTTACAGAGATAAAGAAAGTACATTCATATTTTTTAAAATATCTGTCACAAATATGTTTGAAAGATAGAGACTGTGAAGTCACCAAACAACTTCCCTAAAACCGAAGGTTCTACATTCACATTTTATTTGAGTTTAGACGATTCACTACTGCTTTGCTAGGTAGTCTTCACCAAGTGCTGTTGCTCAAATACCCGCTTCATTTTTTCAGGCTAGTTTTACCAAACAACACCACAAAAAATTGCTGCACAGGAATATTACACCCTAGGTAGTTTACTTTTCCACACTGTAAATTCCTTCAAAGTTATTTTATGCTTTCACTCCAAATAGCCTATTTAAAAAAAAAAAAAAGTCGTGAGGAAGAAAAAGAACTACGTTTCTCAGTTTTCAAAAATGGTTCCTCTGAAAAAGAAAAACAAAGTGTACAACAAATGTGTGGATTCTGAAGTGACTGGGTTACTTTCTCAAATACCACAATTTCTGAAACTAACCCCAAAGCCACTTTCTCAGAAAGCTACTGATTGTCTCGACCCTCTTGAGTATCATTGTAGAACCTGGGACCTCTTCTCCTAAACTGTTACAGGTAATGGAAAGAACTTTTGACTTTGCACCTGAACCATCAGTCAAATAATCCCCTTGCAGCTGGCACCTCACCCTCATTCACTGTCCTGTCCTGTTCAGCAAGCAACCTGGATGGAGAGCTTCATGATGCTGGATTCAAGTCACAAAAAGCCCCACCTGGGAAGGAGGTGACTCTGTATTTGAACTTGGGTAAACTGTTTCTGACACTCCACAATCACCTGGGTTTGTTTTTGTTTTTTTTTTTTTTTTGCCAAAACTAGCCAACACCAGCAACTAGCAATAAATAGTATTCTCATCTAGCCTGGTAGATTAGGAAAAACCAACACAAAGGCGTATGAAATATTCCATCTGAGATACAAAAATCAAAATTCAATGTTAAAAACCACTCTTGCGTGTTCACAACATATTGATTATAAACATTAAATTTTAGGCTAATATATTTTATCCCAAGATATACTGTAATTTTTTGTAATTAAAAAACAAAAAAAGTGAAATCACCATGCCAAAAAAAAAGCGAACCAATTATCTGAGTTCACATTTGGGAAAAACAGTAACTCTCTACATATTCAAATGCAGAGTAAAAGTAGTATATGCACACCAAATGGATAAACTATATAATTCTATACCACATTTCCCCCTCTGAGATCTGGCCAAGAAATCACTGTATTTTGAGTAGGAGGAACTAAAGTTTACCTGCCAGCCTCAGCAGTTTTAGTGCAGGATGCTTGTGCGTTGTCATAAAGGTAGACATGCAACCCAGGAGATCTGAAACAGGTAACCTGTCACGCTGACAGTGAAAAGAGAAGGATCCCATGTCAGCGGCACACCCACCGATTGTGCATCTCCCTTACCTACAGTTCGTGCACCAGAGCCCTGATCAGGTTCTTTACCAGGCCGGGAATGTTGACTCAGAAGACGGATGACTTTCAGTACATGCAAACCGAGTGTTGCAAAAGCTAATCTTCCACCCGTGTGTTAGTAGCTCATAGTTAGTCTCCAGCAGCCCTGCTCTCCGGCTGCAAACATCTCATTAGACTAATGCATTCAGCACAGGCAGAAAACTCGATTTACCATAGCTACAGCAATGAATTTCCATTACGATGACAGCTTCAACCACATCATGTCCGGAAAACCAGCCAACCACTGGCTTTTAAAGAACACACACATTTTACATGCAGAAAACGAGGCGCGCAAGTGTGTGTGTGTGTGTGTGTGTGTGTGTGTGTGTGTGTGTGTGTGGTTTCCTTCCTCTTAGCAGCCCAACTAGAGAAATGTGCAGTGTAGCTTTTTTGCCAACACAAGCTGCAAGGTAATGACACTTCTGCTTCTTTAGTAGTTATATCCTTGTAATAACCTGAATTATGTTACAATTGTCAGAATGGGTGTTTCCAACATTTCGGTTTTCATTACCCCTCCTCTGTTGCCATGGAAACCAGACTGTAACATCATCTCTTTGTCCCAGTCCTGCAGCAGTGTGAGCTAGCACCAAGCTTATAAGAAACCGGTGATCTGAAAGAGTGAATGTTTGACCTTGGACAAATAAAACAAAAATAATTATTCTAATGACATCATTGTTTAGGAGACTGCATTTGCCAGAAGAGTGTGCCTACACAGGTGAGCACACCATGGTCATATGTATACAGCTGCATACAACACATATGGTTAGTTCTTTTAAACAGGGCACTGACCAGGGCCCTGGACCTGTGTGTAAATGCAGAAGTATAAATATGATTTACACTCGTAAACATCATGGGGTGGAATGGTCCTCACATAGGAGAAGGGTTGCTATTCACCCTCCATGCCCTATTGTATTGTCTGTGGCAAATCAATTTATACTGGTAAAGGGATTTTTCTTCTTTTCTTTGTTAAGTGGAGGAAGGCTCCCCATTGCCTACCTCTTTCACCCCATCCTAATGTTTTATTCCCAAGTATTTCCTACAAAATGAAACATCCATTTAATATGTGACCACCCATAGGCTTACTACTGGGGGTGAGTGACAAGCAAATTTAGCCAGGACCAAACATCAACCAGGGCTAATTAAGATTTAGGCCACAACTTGGACAGTTTCTGAGAGTGAAAAAGTGAAATTACAACTTGAGGTTTTTCTGACTATATATCCAGAGTCCCATAAGAAAGAAATAAGAAATCTCCCTCCTCAGACTATAAACATAGAAAAAAGTTAAATTTTTCTGACATCAAAACATTGTATTTATTGAGCAAGAAGTAGATTCACCACTTTAGTTTACTTAATCATGTAATTTTGTTGTTTTGCTTTGTGTGGGAAAAGGCAAGTTTGGTAGTCTTTCATTTTGCTCATTTAATACAAGTTTATTTCATTAAAGGGGGAGGAGGAAGAGTAGGGGGATAGGAAGAGGAGAAGGAAAGAAAACAGAACCCAATGGATGATCTCCGTTTGGCCAGCAGTGGTAGTATTTTATGCCCATGGCCCTGGACATAATCCTACACTACACTCAGCAAAGTATGTTGGCCTGAGATGACCAGTCTTCACTTTAAAATGGTTCTTCAGAGAAGTCAAATAAAATTTTCCTAAATAATCGAGACTATTCCCCAAATCCAATAAAAGAAGAAAAAGGCTTGGCAGGATCCGCCTGAAATAAAGGAATTTTCAGTTGTCCTACCCATCTCTGTGAGGGTTTGTGATTCTGGTCCTTGGGGCCCACAAGAGCTGTCCTTAAGTCAAGGGTGTCTAGGATACAGGCATTGGCATCAAAGGTAAATTGCATCAGTTCAGTTCAGTTCAGTAGCTCAGTTGTGTCCAACTCTTTGCGACCTCATGAATTGCAGCATGCCAGGCCTCCCTGTCCATCACCAACTCCCAGAGTTTACCCAAACTCATGTCCATCGAGTTGGTGATGCCATCCAGCCATCTCATCCTCTGTCATCCCCTTCTCCTCCTGCCCCCAATCCCTCCCAGCATCACAGTCTTTTCCAATGAGTCAACTATTCGCATGAGGTGGCCAAAGTATTGGAGTTTCAGCTTCAGCATCAGTCTTTCCAATGATCAGTCCAATCACCCAGGACTGATCTCCTTTAGGATGGACTGGTTGGATCTCCATGCAGTCCAAGGGACTCTCAAGAGTCTTCTCCAACACCACAGTTCAAAAGCATCAATTTTTCAGTGCTCAGCTTTCTTCACAGTCCAACTCTCACATCCATACATGAGCACTGGAAAAACCATAGCCTTGACCAGATGGACCTTTGTTGGCAAAGTAATGTCTCTGCTTTTTAATATGCTGTCTAGGTTGGTCATAACTTTCCTTCCAAGGAGTAAGCATCTTTTAATTTCATGGCTGCAATCACCATCTGCAGTGATTTTGGAGCCCCCAAAAATAAAGTCTGACACTGTTTCCACTGTTTCCCCATCTATTTCCCATGAAGTGATGGGACCAGATGCCATGATCTTAGTTTTCTGAATGTTGAGCTTTAAGTCAACTTTTTCACTCTCCTCTTTCACTTTCATCAAGAGGCTCTTTAGTTCTTCTTCGCTTTTGGCCACGAGGGTGGTGTCATCTGCATATCTGAGGTTATTGATATTTCTCCCGGCCATCTTGATTCCAGCTTGTGTTTCATCCAGCCCAGCATTTCTCATGATGTACTCTGCATATAAGTTAAATAAGCAGGGGGACAATATACAGCCTTGACGTACTCCTTTCCCAATTTGGAACCAGTCTGTTGGTCCATGTCCAGTTCTAACTGTTGGTTCCTGACCTGCATACAGGTTTCTCAAGAGGCAGGTCAGGTGGTCTGGTATTACCATCTATTTCAGAATTTTCCACTGTTTATTGTGATCCACACAGTCAAAGGCTTTGGCATAGTCAGTACAGCAGAAATAAATGTTTTTCTGGAACTCTCTTGCTTTTTTGATGATCCAGCAGATGTTGGCAATTTGATCTCTGGTTCCTCTGCCTTTTCTAAAACCAGCTTGAACATCTGGAAGTTCATGGTTCACGTATTGCTGAAGCCTGGCTTGGAGAATTTTGAGCATTACTTTACTAGCATGTGAGATGAGTTCAATTGTGCGGTAGTTTGAGCATTCTTTGGCATTGCCTTTCTTTGAGATTGGAATGAAAACTGACCTTTTCCAGTCCTGAGGCCACTGCTGAGTTTTCCAAATTAGCTGGCATACTGAGTGCAGCACTTTCAAAGCATCATCTTTCAGGATTTGAAATAGCTCAACTGAAATTCCATCACCTCCTCTAGCTTTGTTCATAGTGATGCTTTCTAAGGCCCACTTGACTTCAAATTCCAGGATGTTTGGCTCTAGGTGAGTGATCACACCATTGTAGTAAATCGCATAATGAGGCTTAAAATAGAAATTAACTAAACTTGACTTGCTTTAAAAAACTAGATAAATGGCAGCTAGATTTTAAAAAATCAGTAATTTTACTGGGATTTCTTTCTTGATGCCACCATGACTATAGGTCTTAAGTAATTAAGTTCATGTCTTTAATCCCAAGAAAAATTTAAGTCAAATGCATAAGAGAAAAGAAATTTGGTAGGATGGTTGTAGACAAGCTCAGGGGTCAGTGGGAAGAAAAGGGGCCCTTCTGAACTAACGTATCTCCAGGTCTTGGGCTACATACCTGGGCTACGATCAGGATGCTTAGGCTGTGCCATGTTGTCAATTTTCTTTAGTGCTGTGGTTACATTTCTGTCTCAGACCACAGGCAGCATGCTCCATTGTTTCCATACAAATGCTACTGGATTTGTGGTAAGCAAGAAGTATCCAGAGGGAGCAGGCTAATTTTAGGATCTCCGAAGCACAAACCTACTTAGAGTAGCCTCTATCTGAAGAGTAATCCTCCTCTGTCAGCTGCTGGTGAAGAGCTGTGGTTCCAACACAAGGATCAGGTAAACAGCTAGGACTGTGTCCTGGACAAGGGCATCAGTGCTATAGAAAACACAACCCTTGTTATCATAATAATAACCAACCTTTACTGGGGAAATATTATGTACCAGTCCTTTTCATATGTTATCTCATTTACAGCAACCCTATGAAGTAAGTATGATGCATATCACCCCCATTTTACAGATAAGGAAACTGAGACTTGAGGATTTTAAATAAGTTCCTCAAGTACATAGCTCAGAAGTGTTAGATACAACACTGACCCAGGCTGTTTGTCCCAAAGACACAGTACTTAGTCATCTGGTCACACAGCCTCCTGGCACTGCTCCTTGTTTCAGCTCTGCCATTAACCAAATAACATTGGGCAAATCACTCTCTATAATGTAGGGATGGGAGCAGGAGACTAGAACACCTTTGTGGTCTCTTATGGTCCTGACATTCTACAGCCCGATGAGTTGTTTTACCTGCTGGGCTGGGACAGACTAATACTTTGGATTGGACGTGAATTCAGTTGTGGTTGTGGCTATGGCCATGACTACTAAGGGGGAAAAGCACCCTCTCTTTCATGAGAATAAGATCTGATAAACTAGTGCTTTGAACTGTCAATTTGCGATGGTGACAGTGGGGGAGAGAGCATGCAGAAAGAACAGAGAAGTTTTAAAGGCCAAGATTCCATCCCTGAAGTAACAAAAGGAGTCCCAATTTCCATACTCAAGAGGCCCCATGACTTCCACATTATTCACATTATTCAAAGCAGACTTTTCTCTAAATGTTCCTGAGAATTTGAGAAATTCAGCATTATGGAAGACATGAGGCTCATGATCACATTTTGCCAGAGGGGAAGTTGAGGAAAATGGTTAACTTGGTTAGTCAGACAAGAGAAACAATTTGTAGGCTCAGATTTCTTGGTTTCCCCAAACTGCCACTTCTTCAGTTCAAAGCTCTG